AGGATTTTTCTTCTTTCTACCCGTTCTTCAAAGTTGAAAAAGTTCAGGTTTATTCTTCTCCCTCTGTTTTCTAAGTCTTCATTCTTATTTCTGTTATTTTCATTCTGTTTTCTAGCTCCTTTATTTTGTCCGCCAGTTCTTTGACATTGGCTGCTTTGGTAACGTGTTCTAGACTTTTCTCAACTTCGTCGATGCGATCACTCATCTGGTTTAAATATACCTCAATGTCCGATACTTTCTTGGTTGTTTCTGTAAGTTGCTCCTTCAGTGGGTCGATTTTCGAGACTTCGTTCCTAATTGAGAACAACAGTCTGAGGACTGCCGCGAGTTCCATTGCTTTTTCTAGGTTGCCATCTTGGATAATACGGTCCTGGGACTCCACAAGTTTTTTGTTCGTCGTTAGCATTTCGTCGACCTTCCTCTGTTGTATCGGTCTCATTTTTTCCTGTGGTTGTTGTTTTTTCTTTTGAGGCATTATTTCGTTAAAACACGTTTTTTTCTTTTTTCCTGGAGCCGTCCGATTTGAAGCTAGTGATTGTGACGCATGCGCAGACCCTCCTGTGGTTCTTGTTTTCACAAACCATGATAACTAAATCAAGAGAAAAACTTGGCTGACCTTTGTGCTAACCGCACAGCAGTTTGAGATAGCAATGAAATACACCTAATCTTTTTGAATTGGTCAACCATCATCAAAATATTTTCATTTCCCAAATAATCTCTAACCCAAGAATTAAACCAAAAGCGATAATATAAACTTTTATTTAAAACATTTTAAATACAAAAATATAAATAAAAAACATTTAACAAGGTGGTAAAACAAAGTGATTTATCTTCAAACATAATTGCAGCAATATGGCATGGCCACACAAGTAAATGTCTTAATGTAAGAGGTGGCACCGCAGTGTGACAAATTGTGCCAGCAATCAGCTGCATGGATGGATATTAGTGTAATCTCTTATCCCACGAGGGCACTGTCTCTTCTGAAAACTTTTTAGCTTCTGGCAAGTAAATGATTTCCCTGCAACAGAATAGCATGATAGATTTTAATGCAACAGTATATAGAGCAGTGGGTAATGCCAAATTTTACCTTCAATATTCTCAAAATAGCTACAAGCTTTGAAGAGTCTAATTAGGAGTTGCCCAGATCTTCAGGTCACCAGTACTTTTTGTCAAACACACAAGTTTAACAGCTAACATAACTGAAGTATGCCCGCTTTTGTTTTTCAACAAATACTATATTTTAATACATATCTACAACTTTACTGAATTAAAATTATTGAGTTCTTGAAATTGAATGCAAGACCAAAATTGCATAACTTGTTTCTTTTTTACAGCGAGTATTGCACTTTGATTGAAAGTTTGTTTTTACACAAACAATTTGGACACTGTATTTGTAAAGTGTATTTGAGTTGGTAATTACAATGAAGGGCCAAATATTCTTTACGGAGAACACTAATTGCTTTCACATACTTCGGAAAGTAGAACGCTACACTTTATTTTTTTTTAAACTTACCAATGGAGCTGTTGATAACCTTAATACATCATGAGAAGAGACATCAAGCCTGAAATTAACAGCATAGTACAATTACTAAATAAGGTAAGTATCCCACAGACTCATCACACATTGTTTCCAAGTTTTTTTTTTTTAAAACTAAAGGATAAAAGCCGACCATGCCGATTAAGAAAATGACGGTTGTTGCTGCGATTTTTTAATAACTGCTATTGACAATGAGATGATTCTGCACACAATGAGACCCGGAAGCGAACGAAATTGAAATACTTGACAACAAGAATTTTTGTATTCCTTTGCAAATCTCAGTTTGCTGCTGGTGACAAGACTCCCTAGCTAACATTATTTTACATTGGACACCATCACAGTAGCGGCTCCACTGTTGCCACACGATACGGAGACACTCCACTGGCGTAAACGGACTTACCGATTTCTATCGTTACAGGAGCTGACGGGGCTCTTCTGTAATAGTTGCTTTAGGTCTCGGACTCTCCTGTTTCGAACAAGAGATTACGCACGCCGATACAGCAATATTACGTTCCAATCATTCGCCGGATCAGAATTACTTTAGCGGACACATTCATTTTAGGTGTTCAATAACGGTATCAACTATTTATTTCAAAAAGAGCACGAACATAAAATAGATCACGTTAACAGAGCCAAGAAATCTACATACGAAAATGACGAATCATGAATTCATCCAATTTTCAAAATGAGAAATCAGTTTTACAGTCATGATATTTTTTTTATATATTAAAAAGTTTGCACTCGGCAGCATGAAACATAGGTTTTCTAACATGGAAACAGAATAGTAGGACATCAACTATTTATTAACTCTTCAAATGGTTATAAGAACGGCTTTTAAATTTCTACGTCTTTTTTCTACTTCAAAATAATGTCTCAATAATAAAGTTCTGTTAGCAATAGAAGTCACAATATCCTATAAGATGAATCTTCCACGAAGTCTCGCAAGTCACGCTGTACAGTCGATTCCTTCTTTCCTCTCGAATGATTGTAACTTATCAGTTCACGTATCTAGTAACGCGGCAACGGTGGTGGAAGTCCGCGGAGGCCACGTGGCGGAGGGCTCAGCCGACCCGGCGGATAGCTGGAAGGGATGTGTAGTAGAAAGCGGTTTTATGAATGGAGATCAAACATCAATTTCATGAGAAGACAATAGGAAAAAACAACTGGTTTTGAAAGCCACATACATTAGATTAAGAAAAATACCATCTTACCTTCTTGGTGGGATATCCAGATAGGGATCTCGTGGACGTGGTGGCACTGGCGGCCTCTCATAAAAACTGAAATGTATAATGTTTAGTAACTGTCAATTCAGGAAGTAATCTGTGTGGCAAGTTTCAAGAGGGGGCTACAGTAGCTACCAGTTAGCCAGACCTGTCGTTTACGCCCTGTGAAGCACTACTGATATACCTAATGCAATGTTCTTGATAGATATTGCACTGTAAGAAGTTAATTTCCCCCCCCCCCCCCAATACTTGATCAAAGTAGTGTCTAACATTTGTACACTGCCCTGTATCACCGCACTTCTCTCTTCCTTTTTCTTTACCAGTTACTCTCATTCAACTGACATTGCCGATCATTGTTTTTCACATATTACACTTTTTTGTATTATTCAGTGTATCAGTCATTGTCCATCTGCTAAAATGAAAACAATACACTCTTGAATATGGATGATAAATTATTATAACTTACCCAGGTTCCATTGGTCTTCTAGCATAAGGAGGTGGTGACGGAAATCGTCTACCAATGGGACTTCTACTACGACTTCTATAATATGGTTCTGGGGGGTAATCTCTTCTGTATGGATCATATAAGCGTTCTCTTTCATACTCTGGTGGAAAGTCTCTTCTTGGAGGAGGAGGATAATCATAATATCTATCACGTGGTGGTGGGCCATATCTGTCTCTTTCTCTTGGTCGCCCACGATCCCTGATAAAAGAAACAATCATATATTGAATTCTGAGATGTCCCCATGGTAAGCTAGCAAAAATTTGTTTCTAAAAAATGAAAGGAGTTTGTTTCATGGACCTGAACAATATTGCGATTAAAAAATAAAAAATGTAATTGTAACTCACTCAACTGACCTGTCTCGGCCACAATCACGAGACCAATGACCTTGTCGACCACATTTGAAACATTCCCCTTTACTACCCATTCCTGGTGTCTTGTGTACTCTGCTTGTAGATAACTGAAATAATATTCAATCTAGTTAATAAAACAACTAAAACAAAACTGGAAAAATTGAGAAAAATGGTAGCATACATACATGCAATGATAGCAAGCCCAAAAAGTATTTGAACTGGCAAATTAGGCATATGTAGTTGTTAGTTGTATGCAAGTTGCAACCAAGTATTTTATTTTGTCAAAATAACTGCCAATTCGAGTCTCTTTTATAGTAACATTGTATGATGCATAAAAAAAAATTTATATCGAATCCTAAGACTTGCAACTGTGGCATTCTCCAATTGTATTGTGATATGAGCTTAATGCAGACATACTGTTCAAAGAAATGTACTCACAACAGATTGGACTCTTTTTAAAATTTATTGCCAGACACATTATTTTCACAGCAGACATAAATATGAATCAGTGTTCTCCCCAGGCCTCTGAAGCGACACGGTACCGTGACGCTTGGACACTCGGCCGTGATGCTTGCCCTTTATCCGTGACGCTTGGTCACTGGCCCGTGATGCTTATTGCTTTGTTTACAAGTGTCAGTCTCGTCTTGCACGAATTTAAAACAATAACATGTATTGATCGAAAGGTAATCCCGCTTTTGTTAGCCATACAAAGACAGTGATAAAAACGGAAGTCTGCAATAAGTTGCGAAGTCTTTCAAGGATGCAGAGCCGGGGTGCAGAGCCTCCAAATCCAAACAAAAATACTAGAGTAGCAATAATTTGCCCATTGCACGCAACGGCAACAATGTGACAAAACAAGTCACGGCGTACGTCGGGAAGATCAACCCCGATTTGCTGCACTCCGATTTTATATCACTCAATCGCCGGTGACATTAATTACCCCAAAATTAAAAAAAAACAAGTGAAATTAAGTCGCATTGGAAAGAAAAGTGTGAATAATTCAACAGCAGACGAGACGGGTTAAGAAAAAACGAACCCTGACCTCTGGAAATACCCCATTCATAGGATGCCTTAGTAGCGAAGAACGCCGCCCTAAGGCGA